TTTGGCAGAAGGCCAAAACATTAAAGCCCCCACATTCTCAGGACTTTGAAACCCCTTTGGTAGTTAAGAGATTGGTATTTTTGGCAAAATCAGGTCAGCCAGCTCCTCTTTCCATGCAGAACCCCAGAGGAGGGGCAACACTGACATTTATTTATACTTATCATGGAACTGATTACACCGACAGCAACACGCTGGCAGCAAATCACGAGAAAACTAAGCAACCTTCCCCTTACGAGCTGTTAAAATTATTACCTACATTACAGGGATGTTTTATGCATCCCTTAACCTATGGAGGTCAGGTTCTCATTCAGAAGAGTTGTTTTTTTTTTTGTTGTTGTTTTTTTTTTTTGTTTTTTTTTTTTTGACAAAAGCATGCACTGCTCCCCTGTTCAGCACTGGCTGTTTCAGGAGTACACCTCCCAGGAAAAGGGGACAGAGTTGACACGTGGCTGAGTCATGGAGCTAAGGGTATAATTAGAAAACACAAGCTTGGTACACCCACATGCAGCTAATATGAAGAACAGTCATTCCTGATGCGCAGGAGCAAATGTTAAGGCAGAACCCACCAGCATGGTGTGAACCCAAGGTCTCTTCTGAGAAAACGTATTCGTGGTTTAAGGTATTCAAGTTTTTTTCTCCCCCTTTTTCATTATTATTCATTTTTAATCACAAAGGGAAGTTTTATCTCTTATATAAAATACACGAGGATGACAGAATGACTTAATTCTGATTTCAACAAGAATCTTTAACTCATAAATAAGCATAGTGCAGATGATAGTTCCTTCAGCCAAACTCATCCAGTGAGCTAACTCTATAAGGTAATTTTAAGTTAAACACTTATAAAATTCTAATTAAAGTTCAGAGAAACATAAAGTTCAGAAAGTCATACAGAATGACACAGTGAACCAGATGCTCACCATGCAACTCACCCCAGTACCTGTTCAGAAGTAAAAAGATGACCACCTACTACTGTCCTCCAGCATTTCATCCAGTTCCTTTCTAGTCTCTGTTTAAGCAGAGAATAAGTGATCAGGAATGGACACCCCCAGCAGAGCCCACAGTTTTTGGGCAAGACCTCCCCAAAACAGCCAGCTTACAGAAAAAGCTCATTTTGTGATGTGCATCTAAAAGCAGACACCTGACCTAAGGGTATCCAAACTGCCAGGGCAAGCACTGGGCTTCAGTGGCGACTGCAAACAGCACCTCCCAACCCAAATGCAGAACAGTTTTAGAAAGAAGAATTTCTTTTCAGAGCATCTAAATATTCAATCCAGCTGAAACTTACTGAAATACTGTTTCCTCAAGGACTTGCTTAT